CAAAGTGGCGAACCTGCTTTGTAGTGAGTGAACAAGGGCTCTCAGTCTCAGCTGATCTACTCTTATTTTTCTCACCTGTAACTGGCAATGGTGATTCTTTTTGTAGTCATCATGAAGAAGGAGTACTGGAGTGTGCGAGATGTTTTGTGGGTGAGGTGGCTAAATATTTCCTTGTCAGCCCTTACTCAGAAGCCTTTCCCGCTGTGCCCCCAGTTTAGGCTAATTGTCCTTGTTATGGTAACCATACAGCTGTTACTGGTTGAGTGTCTGTCCTCCTAAGAGGGGAGGCTCTGTGAGGGAGGGCGCGTTGCTCACTCTTTCATAGGGGTTAAACATAATAAGTATCCAACAGGCATTTTTGAAGGACATCAGCGACGCCAAGTGCTGTGCGAAGTGCCGTGCGCATGAGACAGAACACCATGAGAACTGTGGGAGATGTTTTCCTTCCGCAGAGATGACCGCAGTTGTGGAGATGTGGGTCAGGCTATCCTCGGTTTGCCTGCTACATTGTTTTCCTAAAGCTAAGTGAGAAAATGTGAAGTCTTTAAATCCAGCGCATAGGAAGCCCCCAAGCACTTCCTCTGATAATGGCTGAGGACAAAGTGATGAAACTGAAGATTGAACATCCATATAACTGAACTGTCTGGACTCCTGTTAAAACAGGGAGATGAAAAATTAAGTGGTTCCTTCTCCGTGTATGATGGGTAATATTGTCAATGTGTCACGATCTGGAACTGCAAAGAGGCAAGCTCTTGGCCGCAGCTGTGAGGGATGATACAGATGAGGTTAACCCTGAGGCAGAAGGCCTATTCTGAAGGCGATGACCCCATCATGGGTGAGGTTCCAGACTGCATAAAAAGCAAGTGAGCTGAGCACCATGCCTCCAGCTGCCTCAAGCCTTGCCATAGCTTCTTTTCTGTGGTGGACTGTATCCTTGAACTGTGAGCTAACATAAACCCTTCCTTCCTGAAGTTGCTTTTGGCAATTTCGTCACAGTGCTGTGAAAAAGTATAAGACTCTATTGGTCTCCTTGTGGAGCTCCTGTCCCCTCCAGGTCTTTCTATCTCCCTCTTCTTTCATAAGATTCCCTGCAGTCTGGGCTCAGGGGTCCTGCAGAGACTAATGCTCTAACCAAGGACCATTCATGGAGAGGACCTAGACCCCCTGCTCAGATGTGGCAGTTAGGTAGCTCAGTCTCCACGTAGGTTCCCTAGTAAGGGGTACAGGAGCTGTCTCTGACATGAACTCAGTGGCTGGCTCTTTGATCACCACTCCCTGGGGGTGGGGGCAGCCTTGTTAGGCCACAGAGGAAGAGGATGCAGCCAGTCCTGATGAGACCTGATAGGGTAGGGTCATGTAGAAGAAGAGGAGGACCTCTCCTATCAGTGGTCTAGGGGAGGGACATAGAGGGAGAAAAGGGATGGAGGGTGGGACTGGGAGGAGATGAGAGAGTGGGCTACAGATGGGGTACAAAATGAATAAATTGTAATAAATAATTCATAAATAAAAGTTAAAAAATATTTTTTTGTTTTTGCAGTGTTTATAAAAGAAAATGATAAGACATTCAAAATTAACCTCCCCCCTAAACAATAAAAGTTTCACTCCATATTTTTACAAACAGTGTGCCATTGTGGGCCTTAAAAAGTTGGAATCCAGATAAAGTTCTGAAAATTTAAACTAGAGAAAAAAAAGTTTTGTCAGTTTATGTATTAGTTATAAGTCCGTATAATTAGTGTCTGTTTGCTTGCAAATAATTCAGGCTAAAATCGCAACAGGCTATAGTGGCACCTACTCCCCAAAGCCCAGGGCTAAGTGCATAGGATGTATGCAGCAGAGTAAAGTGTGTTTATTACTCTGCCACAAAAGAGGACATAGACTTCAGAAAGGATGGAGACAGTAATAAAACTCAGGATCAGGTTTCCCTCCTAGGTGCCCTCCTAACCATGCTGAGTTCAGAAGCCTAAGTTTCTGTAATGAAGATGGCTTTGGAAGTGAGAGGCATTGTTCCCCTTCATTTGGTGTGCATTAGTCTCAGTCAATTTTCTTTTTTTCTATAGCGAAATACATGGGTTTGGTGTTCTAAAAACAATAGAGGTTTACTTAACTCGTGATTATAGCATCTGGGGAGGATGTCCAAGAATGGCACCAGTATGTACCAGTTGCCAAGCGAAGTCCTGGCTGCTGCATCAAAAGGACAGCACCTGTTGATGCAGCAGTGAAAACCATCAGGGAGACTCAGGTCTGTAGAGGAAGGTATAATACATTCCGGTCACGGTATTCCAGGCTTCCTGTGCACTTCTGTTCAGCTTATGTAGCATTTATTAATCATTTCCGATGTGCCAGGCACTAGGGCTACAGAGACTGACAGACTGGAATTGTGCATTAGAGAAGCCCACAACACTGTAAGGGGACTCACCCTCACTCTGCTAAGTGCTGTCCTAACTACCTGACACAGTTAATTCAGCAGCACAGGAGTGCAGTCTTCATTAAAGATGCATGTCTATGTCCAGGGCTGGGAACAAGGAAAAGGATATAAACCAGAATGTGCTCTCTCTCTCTCTCTCCCTCCCTCCATCCCCTCCCTTCTCCATTATTTCTTTCTGTTATTCAAGAGAATGGAACATTATATGAAGGACTGTAATTTGAGCAGCAGCAAGGGTGTGCATGGGGATTTGTTTGTGCATATTTGTGTGCACAGGAGAGAGTGCCACGGGACCATGGGAATCTACTTCTTACGCTTGTAGCCTCCTCAGACCCACTGTGCCATTCGCAACCATGTCCCAGTAAATATTGTAGGAAAGCCCTGATGCAGAGACAAAGGCCCTGATTGGGATGAAGGAGGTGACGGATACATGATGAGATCCACACTTCAAGAAGTGTTTTGGTGACTGCGGTGTAGGGAGATTGAGAGACATGAAAGGAGATGGGAGGTAAAAGCAATCCAGTGAAGCAGAAGCTAGACAATTTGCAATGACAAATGATTTGTTTGGGCTTGTGTCTCATTCTTGAGTGGACAGTGACAGATCAGAGTTTGGTCTTACATAGGGAAAAAAAAAACTGAAGCTAAAAGGTTAAAAGTTTAGATGTTTCCCCCCAATATGAGAGAATATCCAGATTTTTTAGAGCTGTGTCCCCACGTGACAATAACACGTGGAAGCACTAGACGGGGCACAAACCATCTATCCGGCTTTCAGTTAGAGCTCATGGAAGGATGTTTTTGATAGATAAAAGTGTATGTCTATAATTAGCTTGTTGGAATCAGTTCAGATGTCGCCAACTTTGTTGGCAGTATTCAAAGCATCCTAACCAAGGCCAGGTGACACACGGAAGATGCCTGCCAGTTTTCCTCCATCAGACATTTGAATACTTGGTCCCAAGTTGGTGGCTGTGGGAGGATTAGGAGATGTGGCCTTGGTGGAGGAAGGATGTCACTGGTTGTGGGCTTTGACATTTCAAAAGATTCATAGCTCTCCCTGTTTTCTGCTTCTGGATCTAGATGGGAGCTCTCAGCTGCCATTATCTTTGTTATGATGCTGATGGGCTCTTGTCCTTCTGGAAACAAAATCCAGGAGGAAGCTCTTCATTTGATAGTTTGTCTCCATCACTGGTTTTTTTTTTTTTTTTTTTTTTTCAGAAGAGTACTGCAGTTGATCTCCGTCAGGACCTGGGGCCTATCAGTGAAACAGGACGCGAGTTTCTCTACAGGCTGTTTGATCTGGTGCTTGTTGGTCTTGAGGTGCACACTAAACACAAAGGTTTTGTCTTCTGCCTTCTTGAGTCAGATGATGATGATGGCGCAGCAGCCAAGCTTTTCTTTCTTGGGGGTATTCTTAAGAGTTTGGGCTGCCTCCAAAGTGACGGTGTTGTGGACCACCAGATTTGTGGATCTTCTCTGCATGTTTGTGGGTGGCTTTCAGCGTTACCTTCCTGACCTGGAAAGCTTTTGCTTTTGTTTCAGCTTTGAGCAGGACAGGAGCTCCCTTCTTCACTTTAGGTCTTACCTTATGTGGGTTTGTGCTCTACCCTTGCAAACCTACCCCACAACACAGAAAAAAAAATCTTATTGTGGAAGCTGTAGGGTGTAAAAGTGTGTTGTACAGTGTACCCTTTTGTCCACACTGCCTTGCTTGCAAATGTTCATTGCAATGACAAATTGGTCTGGTATGAGGTCTCTGGCTTCTGCTACTCTTATCAGTACTGAAACTTCATTGGGACTCCTCTCAGATATCCCATTGTTGCCCTGTGTCATGGAGATCCTTTAGTTTTGGATCTGTAGGACCTGCCCCTTTTTGCACTACAACAGTTCATCAATGGGGCAGATATGGAGGGCGGGCAGTTCATAGCCCTGGACCTGGGCCTGAGAAGTATCTGAGCTGATTAGCCTGTGGGCTCTCCTGCTGTCACACCTTCGAGGGCCAGCTCACCAGCAACCTCTGCTACCAGGGCCAGCTCTACCCCGCTGCTCAGGCGAAGTGCTCTTTCTAGCATTGTAGCAGGTGAGGGGCAGGGACGGCTCTTCTGCTCCCACGACACCAGGACCAGGTCTCCCGTCTGCCACAGTTGGTGAGGGATGAGGGGAGAGGAGGGTATCTCTCTCTCATCCTTGCCACTGCTCAGGAGATGAGTGTTAGGGCCAGGTCACCCATGCTGACGGTCCCAGGTGGCATCACTCGCGTCAAGCTGTTCCTCACTACCCTCGAGTCTCCAGTCCTGCTTCTCTTCACTGTACCCGAATCCTTCTGTTTCTCTTTCTCTCCCATTTCCCCACCACTAACTCACTCCTCTTAGCGGTATCCCCTAGAGTCTGAGATCGTGTCCTGAGTGGTCTCGGGAGTTACTATGTCCCTCTTCTTCGTTATGGCACCAGCCAGAGGTCATCTGAAGCATGGTCTGTCCCCTGAGGCCTGTGTGGCACCCACTGGTGGACATCTCAGGCTATCTGCCTAACAGAGCCCCCTGGTGTCAGACTGGTTGTCTTCTCAGCTTCCCTTTCTTCAGGGAGTGTTAGGCTACTAATCATTCAGACGTTCATACATCAGAACGCAGAGTGTAGACACAGCCTCTCTCTTCTCTGTCACCTACTGACACACGTGTGACACAGCAGCCACCTGCAATGCTTCTTGGGTGAGGGGGCTTAAGACATTTTAAAGGGTCATTTGAAGATAACACTATTCAAAATCAGTAGCCTGTCAAATAATAAGGCAATATATTTTTTCTGTTAATATAAAATCCATATATTTTATATATGCTTTGCAATGGTAGTTTTTATTTCCTCAGAAGAGGGGATGATCTGAGAGTCATACCCACGCTTTATGAAAAGATGGCTTGGGCTCAGCCCAGTGTTTTTGTCCCTAGACCTAGGTCTGGAAGCTTCTGGCCTCTATAGAATCAAATATTCTGCAAGTTTGGACCTTGAAAGCTTCAGCTTCCAGCTTTTTCTGGTAACCTAGGCCTGGAATATTTTCAGTCTCTGAGACTTACTGCTGAATAAGCTCACCCTTGGTAGTTCTTTCTGAACTCTGGCTGGCTGATTCAGCTCAGCTGTTCTGGCTCAAAAGTCTTCTCCAAGATAATTGATTCAAACTGACTTTTCTCTGCTTCTCACTGAATTGCTGTGCTTGGAAAAAATGTCTTTGAACTCCACAGATTGAACTGCACTGAAGTGTACCATACTCCTGAACTCTACTGTACTGTCCCCATAAACTCTCCTGCTCTCTCTCTCTCTGAGCTGCTCTTAAGTAGCTTCTCTTTCTTTGTCTGTTCTTGTGAGAGTTGGGTGTATCCTATCTCTGATTTATTCTGTCAAATCTTTCTTTGATTTGTCACTTTGTCTGCTCCTCAATTGGAAGTCATCATTTGGAATTAAAAGTGTATACTAAATTTCAACCAGAGGGATTAAAGGTGTGTGTTCCAGCCAGAGGGATTAAAGGTGTATACTAAGGTTAGGTCTGTATTCCAGAGAGATCACACAGACTCAGGTCTTTGGATGTGATCCCTTTCCAGAGCAGCCAAGTTGCTGGATTAAAATTCTTCTACAACATTTATATTTTTCCGTACATACAAAGAAAAGATCTTGGTTTTCACAGAACTGCTAGTACCCAGAGTACTTATTAATATCTGTATTCATGAATTAGAACTCATTAATAAATATTCTCTGGATTAAAAAACAATGATATTAACTGTTCTTATTTTTAATCTTAGAAACCAACTTGAAATAAAAAAATATTAATAAGTTTCAGTGACAGTTTCTGACATTCAGTAGATTTATATCTAGTTTCTTTTTGAATAATAAAAAATATTCTCCTAGACAAACAATTCTAAATTCACTTATTTTATAATTAAACTTTATAAAATCAGTTTGTGCCAATAGAATTATAATTTAAAAATCTTGGCTTTCATAAGTCGCAAATATGTCTGTAACTATGTAGCTACTTCCTTCCCCCACTGTATTTATTATATTTTCTGATGTAGCCAGGATATAATTAAGAGTCATGGGTGCTGGAGTCAGACATGCCTGGATCTGAATCCCAGCTCTTTAATTTCTTTGCCTTTGTTCCCAGAGCAAGTTACTTGGCTCTGCAAGCATCGTTTACACAACTGGCCAAGTGACACACTATATCTTGAATGTCAGAGCAGTGTGATAGCAGAACCCAGTCTTCACGTCTAGCTCATCTTTGTTCTCCCAGTTCATTTTTTTTCACATTTAAGAAGCAGTAAATACAGGTAAAATGTGGTTTTAAAATAAGAATCTAAAAATCTTCCATTTTTGTGTATTGGTTGACACTACTCTCCTTTATTTTCAAAAATTTTAGTAAGCCATGAACAATTTTAAAACCAAACACTATGGTACTTTTTTTTATCTTTTTATAAATTTTAGATTTTTCTTTGAACTACAATTTATCATCTTAACAATTTTTATTTGGATTTTGCAATGCTATGGATCAATCCCATGGCGTCACATATGTTAGGGACACGCTCTTGCACAGAACAACATTCCCAGACCATTATAATATACTTTTTAAAGATGAGATGAAATTAGCAAGAAGGAAATGATATTAGGGCAAGTGTGAGCAAATGGAAGATAATAAAGCAGGCAGTTGGTCAGACATATCCGAGGGTGATAGGAAACAATACAGAGAGTCAAGACCATTCTGTGTACATGGAAAGGTGAGTAGATACTGTAGACAGTACAACACAGGGATAAGCTAAGGCCCACCTGACAAAAGAGGACCACAGAATCCCTAACCTCATCGTTCTGAGTCGTTGTTATTCATATTTTGCCATATCAGCATATTATTACGTACATCGTTATGCATTGATACACAGTTAAGATCCTATTTACCTTTTGATACCTACTTTTTCATTTGCTATATCATTTCTATTCCGTTGTTAAATGGAATCAGTTACATGTTTTGCTGAATAGCGCACAGCGTTATTTTTAAATAGATGACGATAATCTAGTCCATGAGTTTAATTCTGAACTCTGACATATTGCCAGTTTTTTTTTTAACTGCTGAAACAATATTTTCATCCATGCAGTTTCTTTGGGGGTTACTGTGCATATCTGTAGTTAGTTCACGCAGAAAAATTCCCAGAGGTGGGTGCTCTAGTACCCTAGGGCTTGATACTCGTCGCCAGATTTTGCTCTGCCATGCTGTCATACCTGAGTTCTTAAACCAGTCCTCATCAGTATTCTAGGAAGTCTGAGAAGGGAACATATTATATTCTTTCTTTAGCTGTAGTTGTTTCATTAGTAATAACACTGGACTTTGTTTTTCGTATTTGCGTTGTGTATGCACGTGTGCGTGATTCTGAGTATACATTTACGTGGAGTGGGAGAGCATGCCTGTGCATGTGGGTGCAGAGGCGAGAGGAGAAGGTTGTGTCTACTGCCCACTCACTCCCTTCTTATTCCTCTGAGTCGGAATCAGTCTCTCACTGAACTGCTTCTTAGAAGATCCAACCTACATACGATGTCGCCTACAGATGGAGTGCCCAGCGTCTATTGTCGCCACTCATCTGGCCTTCTCTCGACTGATTGATGGTGACAGTACATTTATCCATTATATCTTACTTATCCCCGACTCCCCCAGTCTCACACAAAAGCAGGTGCCATTATTGTTAAAAAGAAAGGGCTAGGGGCAGCCTTATCCATGATAGAATGAGTGTAGATGAAAAGTTAGAGCCTGGTTACAGAGTCAGAGTCAAGCCTGTGCTATGTTCCCCACAGGATTTAGGAACACTAGAACTTAGGGTTGCTTACAGAAACAGAGGAGGGCTTTAAAAAGCAACTTAAAAGTTTCAGTTGCCAAATCCGCTTAGTGTGACGGATCATGGAGAATTATCTTTCGTGAACTTTTATGTAAACTGTAACTTAGAATGTTGCTGATTTAAAGTGACTATGCGTTAGCTGATTATCAAATGTTTTGATATTTTAGTTTGTGAATTTTTTCTTGAGACAAGCTGTCCTTTAGAAAAAGTAAGTTTTTTTTTTCTCAAAGACAAACAAACAAACAAAAAAAAAAAAAACAAAACAACAATGAGAACAGAAGATTAGAGGAGGGCCTGCCTGTAGAAGCTGGGGCTGGAAGAATCTTCACTGTCACCGCGGTCTCTGAACGAGTCTGTGGCACTGCCCGATTTGAGACGGATCTCTCTCCTTTCCTAAGAGGAGAAGCGGCATTTAAAATTTTCTCCACAAGGAGACTTTCTTGAGACTATGCTATAAAAAGTGGGGTTAGGTCGGGATTAGAGTCCTCAGACTGGAACTGAATTAAGCTCCGATGGCTGGAGAGCATCGTGCAGAGCAAAGAATGGAGTCCTCCAGTTTTTGTCTCATTATAGTTCCGGCCACTTGACATGCAACCCTCCCTTTTACATCTGAATTCAGAAGTAGGTGGAGTACGGGTTCACACAAGTGCCTGTCCCTCTTGGTCTCTGTGAAGTGTCCTTTAATCATGTTGGGCCCTGCCTGAGCTGACTGGATCTCCGATGGCCTCATCCTGGCTTACCCCTCAGCGTCACCTAGACTTCTCCCTCTCAAAGCTCTGTCCAGCCACCTTATCAACTTTACTTAGGCCTAATTTCGTCATACAAATATTAAATAACATTATTAGTAATTAATAATTATATCATCTTATTATCACTTTCTCTTCTTTTCTTAGGAAGCTACGATATCACACCGCGGCTCTCCACGTCCCCACACTCTGATCCTGAGTGTGTTCAGTTGTATAACATATATAGATTGGTGATTGCCTATCTCATGCCAAATATTTTTGACGTTTGATTGTTTTTTTCCCCATTGTCCCGTTAACCACACTGTGCTTTGTGTCTGGGAAGGTGTGTCATATTCCGTGGCATGGTCGAGACAGATGAGGTTATCTGATGTGATTTTCTAAATCTTGTATGTGTGTGAGGCTGATGAGATTAGTTAACTTTCTATATTCCCTCCTTGCTTACTGCTGCAACTGTACCTAGTTAGAAACAAGAAGATGGCTAGAGATAGGGCTCAGCAGATTGTGACACCTGCTGCCAGGCCTGGCAGCTTGAGATCAATCCCTGGGACTCTTGGGGTGCAAGGAAAGAACCAATTTCTGCAAGTTGTCTTCTGACCTCCATGTGCAAGCCATGCCACGTGCCTGCCAAACCCACACATGAAACAAATGAATAAACATCTTGTGAAAAAGATTTGGCCAAAAAAGGAGGGTTGGCCTAAAGATATCAGTGACATTTATAATGTAATGACCATTTATTAAATAGATACACTGTGTTTGTTATTTACCTATATTAATTATGAACCTGGACGCCTCCTCATGGGCTCCTTCATAATATCTTATCTGCTTTGAATAAATGGTAGCTATTTAACAAATATCAAGATGAAATAAATGCAACTCTAACAATATTTGTATTTTTTAATTTAGCGCATTCTGAACTATAAAGGATCTTTAATCTTAAGTTAAAAATCACCGTGATTTCTTTACCGCAAATGTCAACGTCACTTCTTAAAGGAGTTTTATTATTCTCTCCAAAATGTGATACCTACTGAATATACCTTTTTCACAGATACAGATAAAAGAAGAATGTTAATGTGCACAGGCACACACACACACACACACACACACACACACACA